GGGGGGTAGGGGCCCCTCCGCGCGGTCCCCGGCGGCGCCATCGCCTCAGCGAGGCGGCCGGGAGAGCTGCTGGGCGCCTTGGTCAGCTGCTGCCAGGTGCGCTTGTTCTGTAAGCACCAGGTGTCTGTAAGTCACAGGTGTCTGCAAGCCCCAGGTGTCTGTAAGCCATAGGTATCTCTTAAGCCATAGGTATCTCTTAAGCCACAGGTAACTGTAAGCCATGGGTGTCTGTGAGCCATAGGTGTGTGTAAGTCACAAGTAACTGTAAGTCACAGGTGTCTGTAAGCCATAGGTGTGTCTAAGTCACAGGTGTCTGTAAGCCATAGGTGTGTGTAAGTCACAGGTAACTGTAAGGCACAGGTGTCTGTAAACCACAGGTGTCTGTCAAGCCAGGACCATTGCCGTGCACAGGTAACTGTAAGCCATGGGCGTCTGTGAGCCATAGGTGTGTGTAAGTCACAAGTAACTGTAAGTCACAGGTGTCTATAAGCCATAGGTGTGTGTAAGTCACAGGTAACTGTAAACCACAGGTGTCTGTAAACCACAGGTGTCTGTCAAGCCAGGACCATTGCCGTGTGGAAAGAACAAGATTGTCTTTTTCTCTACCTGAAAGGAGTGTTCTGCTCCTACCCCCTCCCCCCCCATTTAAAAGTGTAAGTGTAAATCCTTTTTCCTGGAGGATTTCAAGTACAAGACTTAGTTCAGGTGTGTCAGGAGCAAAACCTGGTCAGAGCTAGGACAGAAGTTCCTCACCCAGTGGCAGTTGCCTGCTGCATAGTTTGTCTTGATGCCACCAGAGCTCATATTCTAGTTAAAAATTACAAACAATGCCTTGGTTTTACCAATGTATTTCACATTTTTTCAGTGAAAGTGTGAGAAGTTTCCAATTCAACAGGTCTGGCAGAGCAACAGGAACATAGTGTGACTTTTCTGATGTTTCAAAAGCTAAAATGAAAGCACAGAAGAACTATCATAGAAAAAAAAAGAAGAAAACCACATAATTTTTTATTTCCCTGTGGCTTATGCTAAGTGTTCACTGAATAAGACAAGTTCACAACCATTTTGTTTACAGATTTTCTGATGACTGTTATTTAATAAGATCAGGAAGGTTTTAAGAGAAGGCTTGGTGGATGGTCTCATACAACAGCATTGGCTAGAAAGTAATTAAAAGCTTTTATTACTCTACAAGTCATTGGGTAATTCAAGATAAGTATTTATCTGGAGAAATACAGTCTGACAACCAGTAACAGGGTTCAAACCAGGGAAAGGGAGCTGAGGTGATGACTCTGCTAAGTTGAGGCTGAACCTACTGTGCTGTGTTTTCTGTTGTTTACATTAGAAGGTGTGAATCATCTTGATGGTACAGTGTTTTGTAAAGTCTTGTCCCTGATGTAAAATAACTACATGAGATATAGTTCACCAGGACTGGAGGTAGCGTTTTATGCTTCAAGAGTTTAAATAAATAATCTGCCTGATGGAAGAAAAAAAGCTGTATTGATTTATTGGTCACATCACTGAGTGCCTTCCTAGTGTTGATGCTGTTAAGCAAAAAGAGCCACTGCTCTGCTGTCAATGAGACACTCATTTGCCCCCAGTTTTACAAATTAGATTTAGGAATAAATACTGAAACATAAATAAAAAAGGGTCTTGACAGCAATATTTGGTGTTGGCAATGGTTTGTGTTTAGAGATTATTTACACCAACTTTGGAGACTTATTTAATGGCAGCCTTGCTGTTTTGAAAGATATTTGTCAGTTTATTGGAAGGTAACTAGGAAAAGCTAACAATTAATAATGAACTCAAGAGATGTATGGACTAAATGATGCCACTCCAGGCAGCTGCTGTGTTTAAAAAATAGTAGATGCTATTTTTGTTGTCCTGGAAATTTCCTGTGAAAATTTTTCGTTCCTCAATTAAACAAATCTTGATGAATTCAGCTTCACTGGCTGTGGAGTGGGAGTTCCTTCTCTTCTGCAAAAGCTGAAAAAGCTTAATTCTAATGTGGAATTATTAAGTCACAATCTGAGGCTTGATGGAATATTGTAAGCTCACCAGACAGCCTCTGCATCTCTTGGCTCTGTCCTCTATACATTTGTATCACAACTAACACACAGAGTATGATTCTATCCCTAACCTTGGATCACCAAACATTTTGGGAAATGTTTCTAATGTAGATTTTATGTCAAATATGTAGAAGATAGTGAAAGCACTAGTAGTTTCAACCTTTTATCAACAAAACCTGAGTTAATTATTAGTCACCTCCCCCTATTACGATTATATCCACCATAATTCACAGAGATAAAGACATCTTTTAAAAACTTAACTAAATTCCCTAGGTTAGTAAGACTGCTGTACACAAAGCTCCTTTTTTTCTCTTTTTCACCTACAAACCTGATCAAATAGTGACTAGACTTAGTGGGTGAGTGTAGTAACAAGAGCAGATACAACACCTGCTTCCAAGTTTCCACAGCTCTGAGCACAATGAACCTGATAAAGGCCCACACTGTCTTTAGTGAAGTTCATGACTCACACTTTTGATCATCTATGTGCTTGTACCACTTCTGTGTGATGCTTCAATTCTTAGTTTTTCTATTATCCAAATCCTGGCTAATGAATTTATTCTAGTTTGGGCAGTGTTTTTGATATTATTTGCCTGCTTGAACTGGTGAGGTTATCTTTACTAAAAGAGTTTATAGACAGAATATTTGAATACTCTCTGATTGACAGTCTTACAAGTATTTTGTATTTCACAGGTCAGCATTCTGGAAGAGATAGATGGATAGATAGATAGATAGATATAGAGATAGATCTCTCCTTTGTGTGCCTAATGGAATGGGATCTGATTTTTTATGCCTTTTTAAGTGAAGATGACTTTAATATAGTACATCTTAATACAGTCCTGTGAGAGTGAAGGTAGCTTGGCATCCAGCACATCAGGGGGACAGGGATACATCATGCGTTTGATTTGCACAGATCTGTAGCATACATTTCAGGAGCTGTAGTATGTGCCTATTGCCAATTTGCTTTCTGGGCTCTCATGCATGGCTACAAGCTGCCATCAGTCTCCTAGAGATCACATGGCTGGGCCCGAGATTCCTCTGCATATACCCCTGGGTATATAAATGGCCCCAGTCACACAGGGAATTGACCCCCAACCTCAGTGTCTATTTTTTGTTTAGGTAGTGCACCCAGATGGAGGTTTGTCATGTATTATTCTAAATATACAAAAATAAAATAACCATTGCTCACATTGGGCAGACAGGACATGACTCTAAAGAGCTCTGCTGAAACGTTCACATATGGTGTGTTGCATGATGCTTTATTTGTCCCAGAAGAATAAAGATGATAGATGATAGCAGGGATTTGACCTTGTGCACAGGAAGTCCTTTTGAATATAAAGGAGGCAGTACATGTTTTCTGCAACTACCAGTGTAAAGAGGATGTAGTGGAAGGATGGGTTTTGCTTCTTTTGGAGTAACAACATCTCTGTGGAAACGCAGCAATTGTTTATAGTCCTGTCTGCAGTTTGTGAAGCCAGTTTAGAGACAGGGTGTGGATGGGATTAAAGAGAGCCAGAGATCCCTGGGGAGGCTGCCAGGCTTGGTGCCCCAAGGCTGGGTGCCCTGGAGCCTGCAGCTCTGCAGGGTGGGCTGGGAGCAGCCTGAGGGGACAGGGCAGGGCAGGAACCCAAACGGAGGTCGCTGCAATTTCAGAACTGGCTAATGGGTGTATGTCTGTGTGTGTGTATCTATAGATGTATACACACGGAGAAAGAAACATCTAAGTTAAGTTTGGGCTGCTGAAGGGAAGGGATTATTTTGGTTGGTACCCACTGTAAACTGTTTGTTTTGTTTCTGTAGGCAAAGGAGAGAGAGAAGTGATACTGTCCTGCATGCTCTGAACCGTGACTGAAGAGAATAGTTTCTCAGGTGACACAATGTTAAAAATCAGTCCTTATGGAGGCAGTGCCTGTTTGAATTCGACAGCTTTTGAAAATGAAGGGCTTAGGGTTGGCTTTAGAAACTGATCCTCTTTTGTTAAAAGCATTGATGAAATGGATCTTCTTCAATACAGAAGTACAGACTCTATGATGGCATATTTTTCCCTCTTCCGAATTTTTATTTTATTTTATTTTTAATATTATTTTTTTTTGCAGTTCTGTATCCGTAGTGGTGAGCTAAAAGCTGAGTTGGCTCTCCAGAAAGGTGGTGAGGGTAACTGCTTTCCTTGAGAAGTGGTTAATGACATCACTGATCCCTGTAGACCCCGTTCGTTCCTGGGATGCAGTACGTTTTGTGCTGAGTGCCCTCTTGAGGTCTTCGGCACACAGTGACCTGGAGGAATCCCGGGTAGTGTGACTGGAT